CAGCTGCCTCAGCCTTGCTCTCCTCAGCAGCGAGTGGTCCTGGATTTCCTTCCTCAGAGAAATGAGAACGTGAATTTCAACATGGATGGGAGATAGTGTATCAAATCTCCCACAAGGAACTCAAAGAAGAATCTTTTCATTAATAGGTAGTAGTAGTTTTCAGCTATCTACTTTTCACTGTTTTGCTGAGACATCTAACGTCAGTCTTATTTGTAAAACCTGGAAAGCTAAATTGAGTCATAAATACAGAAAGATGAATAATTATATTAGAAATAGGACAACTTGGTTTGACATGATATAATGGAATGATTTCATTCCACTCAGTCTGAGATACAGTAAAGGTGAAATAGACTTCACCCAAATGAAAAACTTCAGGCCTGTACTCTAGCTGAGTTCAGAACACGTCCTGAGCATATAAGAAGCTCTTGTTTTGAACCCTAGCACTGCCGAATGAAACCAAAGTCAAAAGCAAACTTCTGGTGATTATCTTGCTAAAGTAATAACAATTAAAAAGACAGACAGCAGTCAACGGTGGCAGGAACATGCTACAACCGGAACCTCATGCATTACGATGGAGAGTGAAAAATATTCAGCCACTTGGGAAATTGTCCTTGTAGTTTCTCTGAAGGTCAACTTGACCTTCCTAAAAATTCCACTCCTCGATATTTCTCAAGAGTAAATAAAATCATATGTCCCCACAGAGACATGTTTGAAAGTTCTCGGCAGGTTCACATATAATAGCCCCCAATGAAAATCATCTCAGTGTCTCAAAAAGGCAAATGGGCGAAAATATCATTGTGTAGCCAGGCAATAGGATCTCTTCAGTACAAGAGAAGAAATTACAGATTAGCACAGCACAGATAAGTCTCAAAAGTATTATGCCATGAAAAGCAGATAAACAGAGAAGTGCACACAATGAATGTTTCCATTTAGTTGCAGCCACAGGACAGGAAAATCAGTCTTAGCCTCTTAAGCTCCCTTCATAGATTCTTGACATTGTCTCTGTCATGGTTCTTTTTCCCCTCCATGTTTCTTTTAAACTTCATTTCTGTGATATACGTAATATAAAATAGTAAAAATAAAAGTCACAAACCTTGAGAAGCGTGGTGTCATGGTGGTGCCTGCCTGCAATCCCAGCACTCTAGGAGACTCTGGTGGAAGAACCACAAGTTCTACCTCGGCCTTCGCAACCTTGCAACTTAGCTAGACCGTGCCTCACAAGGAAGAGAAAGAAAGAAAGAAAGGGACAGAGCAAGGAAGAGAGAGAGGGAAAGAAGGAAGGAGGGAAGGAAAGGGAAAGGAGGTAAGGAGAGAAGGAAGAGAAAGTTCCTCGGTTTCACCCTCACTGCAAAATGAAACACACATTTTCCTCATCACAGAAAAGTCTGCACTAATGGTGCCTGAGGTCAACATCTCTGTCCCCCTGAATACCATTCTCTCTAAATAACCTTTCAAGCGTTTTGTTTTCCTATGGATAGTGTCATATTTATACCAGAATATATGCATCTTCTTGTTAGAATAGATGCATCATTCTATGTAATGTGCTTGTGGCACTAAATTGTACATTACAGTAGGTATATCATCACATATCTGCATATCTGTATATCTCTCAGTGTTTTTAACAACATCAGAGTATTCTGCTCTGTAGAGGGACGTAATTATTGTACTAGTCCACAAATACTTGCATAATGTTTAATAGCAGAGAAGTTGGGGCAGCAGAGATTGCATAGACAATACTTTAATTCACATTCTTATACCTTGTATGTATCTTGCAATCTTGTAGTAGTGTGTCTGTGGAAAACCTTTTTCAGGATGGCATTTCTGTTGCAATTTCTGTGAGACACGTAGGCATGTTTTTAGCTTTGATAGCAGTGATTCAGTTGTTCTCTGAAGTTATTTGTCCATATCATATACTGAGCAGAAACCTATCTGGTCAGTCAGTGAGAATAACTCACCTTTGAAATACAGTAGATAATACTATAACCTTATAGCTTTTAAAATCTACATTAATTTGTTTTTTGCCAGCATCAGATTGATTTATTTATTTTGTAAGTGGTTATCAAATTAATTATCATAAATGCAGATTAACAGCTAGGGTAACAGGCAGAAAAACCCCCATAAAAGCCCCACAGGACAATAATACTAAATCAAGACACCCTGTTAGATACATCGTCTATGCTGCAATACAATAATATGTTTTTTCCAGGTGTGGTGGCCTCAGTACATGGTTGCAGCAGTCAGGAGGGTGAAGTAGGAGAATTCAGTAAGTCGAGGCGAGCCAGGGCTACCTAGTGAGTTCAAGACCAGATGAACTACAGAGTGAGACCCTGTCTCAAAAAAAATTTTTTTTCTCTATCTTCCCTATTGTCTGTGTTTCATTCTGCACTTTATTTATATATTGGGTATCTTATATAAGAGAAATCATGTGACATTTCGGCTTTTGTGTCTGATTTACTTCACTTACCATTATTGTTTCATTTTCCTGCAATGAGTCAAATTTGTCCTTCTTCCTGGCAGAGTAGAATTCCTTTGTGTACAAATCCCACTTTTTCTTTCTTCATTCCCTGTTGATAGACATAGAGTCTCCATGTGAGATTTAGCCATTATGAATTGTGCTGCTATAAAAAGGGCATGCTTCCATCACTGCGATGTGATGTCCCTACCTCTTTTGGGAAGGTGCCTAATAGGGGAATAGCTGGCTCAAATGGGATTTGGAGTTTTAGTTTCTCGCGGAATCTCCATACTGATTTCTGTAGTGGTTACACAAGTGTACACTCCCGCCCACATCGAGGAATGGTTCATTTCCCCCATGCCCTGCAGCACCGTTGTCCTTTGACGTGTTGACAGTAGCCATTCTTTCTGGAATGAGGTAGAATCTCAGTGTTATTTTGATTTGCATTTCTTACATGGCCAGCGATCTTAATGATTTTTTAGGTGTTGATTGTCTTTTGCACTTCTTTCTCTGAGCAGTGTCTATTCATTTCAGAAGGCCATTTCTTATTGGGTCTCTATGTTTGGCAGGGTTTAACTCCTGGAGTTCTGTATATATTTTAGATATATGTCCTTTGCCTGAGGTGTAGGTGACCAATTTTTCCCTGTTGTGAAAATTGTCTGTTCACTCTTCACTCTGTTGGTGGTTTCTTTTGTGGTGCGGAAGCTTTTTAATTGGATGTGACCCCATTTGTTGATTTTTGGTATTATTTCTTGTGCAACCCGGGCTCTATTCAGAAAGTCAGCCTATGCCTAGGTCTTCAAAAGTTTTACCTATTTTATGTTGCATCAGACTGTATTTCTGATTGAATGAAGAGATCTTTGATACATTTTCATTATGGTTTAGTGTATGATGAGAGATATGGGTCTACGTTCAATCTTCAACATGCAAATTGCCAGATTTCCCAGCCCCATTTGTTAAAGAGCTTGTCTTTCCTCCAGTGTAAGTATTTTGCCCCTTTGTCAAAGATGAGGTATCTGAGTGCTTAGATTTGTTTCTGCCTTCTCTATTGTGTTCTACTGAAGCACAAATCTTCTTCCCTCTGCCCCAATACTATGCTGTTTCTATCACTGTAGTTCTGTGATGTACCTTGATAGCCGGGATGGTGATTTTCCCTGTGTTGCCCTTGTTGCCCAGCACTGCTTCTGCTATGACAGGTCTCTTCCAGTTCCACAGGAATTTTATGACTGCTTCCTCTAATTCTGTGAAGAATGCTGTTGGTATTTTGATCAGGATCCCATTAAATGTATGTAACAGTTTCAGAAGGATGGTCCTATTGACTATACTGGTCCTGTCTATCCAGCAACAGGGGCTGTTTTCTGTTATCCTCTTGGGTCTCCTTTTTTAGAGTACCACAGCTTTTAGAGTACAGGTCTTTCACTTCCCTGGTTATGCGAATTCGTAAGTATTTCATTTTTGTTGATGCTGTTATAAGAGGCATTATTTCCTGAATTTCTCTCTCAGTGAGTTCATTATTGGTGTATAGGAACACTACTGAGTTTGAGTGTTGACTTTGGGTCCTGCCATGCTACTGAATTTGGACACTAATTCTAGCAGTGTTTTGGTGGTGTATCGGAACTTGTATGTAGAGGATCATATCACCTGTAAATAATGGTAATTTAACGTCTTCCTTTCCTGTCCATATCCCTTTTCTTTCTTCTCTTGTGTAGTTCTCTGCTATTGCTTCAAGAACTACGCTGAACGGAGGTGGTGCTGGTGGACATCCTTGTGTTGTTCCTGATTCTAGAGGGAAAGCTTTCAGCTTCTCTCCATTTAGTGTGATGCTGGTCATTGGTTCGATCTAGATGGCTTTTAAACCTGTATTACTGTGATCACAAATCAGTCTGATTACATTTTTGTCTGTTTGCTATTTCTTTGTGTTTATATTGCCAGAAACTGCCTTTATTTGTATTTGCATCATCTTTGAGAGTTGACTTCTGTTCTTTTGTAAGAACTGTTTGTACACAACTTAACTGCCTGTTGCTCTTCAGCAACAGGCATTCTGATTTTCACATTTTACCTACGTCTGTGTGCACATATGTATGTGTATACAGCCTTTTTTGGTATGAAGAATATGCATCTTTTTACAATAAGAAATTTGGTTGTCTTTCCTTTATACGTTGTTTCTTGTCTGCTCTACTTAGAAGGGCCTTCCATCTTTCAAATATATATTTTTAGAAATAACACATTTTTCTTCTAGTTATTTCATGATGTACTTTTCTAAATGTCAGTACTGGAACCTCTGCTCTGTTTGAGCCTTAAAGACATCCTGTCACCAGGTAGCATGCTTTGTATGTGTGGCGGGGCATACTGGGTATGTGAATGAGGGGCCCTACGCCACTGAGCTGCATCTTCAGTCCTTTTAATTTTGTTGGTTAAAGACAGGGTCTCTAAGTTGCCCAGACTGACCTTGAACTCGGGGGCCCTCCTGCCTCAGCCTCTTAGTTAGCTGAGGACACAAGCTTGCAAAACTGCACAGGGGTGTTTGTTTTTCATAGTAGTGTTTCTCCTAGCAGTGAGGTGACTGATGACATTTTGAAAAGCCCCTAAGTGCGGACTGCAGGATATAGATAGCAGCAAGCAAGAGCCTGGGATTTTGATAAAGGCTCTGAGGAGGAGAGTTCCTGGGGTCGGAATTGAGCATAGAGTTGTCCCTGGGAGTAGACTGTGACTCACTGTGACTCACTGGTCATCACCGTGCTGCCCAGAACAGAATTCTCTTCAGCCTGGCCCTGCTACTCCAAGATACCTCCCACTGTGTTGCAGAGTCTAAGCACACTGGCCTCGTGCTTTGCCTGTGGACTCCACCGTGGGGTGTGGACCAGAAGCCCTCTGTCCTCCACCAGGGCTGCACTGGCCAGGGAGATGCCTCACTGTGACTCCCGGCCTGGGCACTGGGGAACTCTGATCCGCCGGCCTTCAGGAACTCAGCTGGCCTGTGACTCCTTCCGATGTTAGAGACTTGTTCCTCTAACAGGATTTTATTGAGATATTGTTTGGCCAGAGTAAAATGCACAGGTCCTGGCTTCTGTGTGAGTTTTATGCATGCAAGGGTGCATCTGACTCCATTCCCACCGGGATCAGAACATTTGCAGCTTTCAGGAGACTCCTCCTATACTCCTCCCCGGTCGGTACCAAGGGGTAACCAGAAATCAGACCTGTGCTTGTCCTTGTTGGGGATGGAGTTGGCTTGCTTTCTGGCTGTGACTCTAGTCCTTGTTTTTCCCCACACCCCTGTTCCTTTCAGAGAGCTCCATGGTATGGATGCCACAGTCTCTGTCTCCTTGGTACTGTGGGGAACACGTGGCTGTTTCCAGGTTCATGCTGTGATGCTAAGTTGTTCTGGGCAGCTGTGTGTGTTTTCCTGTCTCTGGGGTTCCCAGTAAGCAGTAGAATAGCGGGTGCAGAGGAGAAGATATTGCACTGTGCTGCCCAAGCAGTGCTAAGCTGTATCTTCATTTTCTTGTTTTCCCTTTTTGGATTTCTTCTCAAGGAACAGGGTCTCTCCATGTTGCTCAAGCTGGTCCAAAACTCTTGGGTTTGTGCGCTTCTCCTGTCTCAGCCTCAAGAGGTACAGAACTGTAGCCATGCAACACGAACTCTGGTCCTGAGCTCTATTATTGTCCATTCTGCCCTGAGTCATGCGGGATCCCTTTGTTCCAAATTCCAACGAATGGCCGTTGCCTGCGAGGGAGGAGCCCTCCCTGGTGCCTGCACTGTGATAGAGTGTTATAAAGGATTGCTTTCCTTTCCAGCTTTTCTGCTCCAACTGCATTCCCTGTTCCTTCAAATCACCAGATTATGGTTGAATAGCAGCATAATGAGGATGGAGGGTGCAGAAGGGTCACGTGGCCTCCCGCTTGGGAGAATGTGCAAGAAGTGGGTCTTTGCAAATTCTAGGGCATCTATGGTGAGCACAAGATGAAAGCTATGCAAGGACATGCGTATTGCCCCAGACACCTTGTTTCCTGCTTGCCTAGAAGACCCTCACTTTAAATCCAGTTTGTTGTACTATCCCAGAATGCCACAGAGCAGATCACTAATAAGCAACGAAGTTGGTTTCTCAGGGTTCTGGAGGCTGGGAAGTGCAATACCGAGGCATTAGCGCTTGGCCAGGGCCTTCCTGCTGCATCAGCCTGGAGGAAGGTGCCAGGAGGAAGGGTAATGAGGACCCAAGTGAGAGCAAGAGCTCATCCTTGAAGCCCGTGCCCTTTGTTGACCGGCACTGATACAAGAGAGGAGCCATGGAGACCCCCACACCTCCCCTGCAGCCACGCCTCCTAGCACTGGTGCCCAGGGGACTAAGTCAGCAACTTGTGCTCTTTGAGGGCACGGAAGCACTTGGCTACTCATCCCTAGCCGGTGACACGGCCTTGTCAGTTTCCTGTGGCAGAGACGTGAGTGAGCTCAGGGGAGCTGATTGTCCTGCCTCCCCTTCCACCACCAGCCAATGCTACTCTTTTGCGTAAACCACTGGTTTCCTTTACTTATGCGCCAAACCCGATGAAAGACAGCTTTTTTCTCAAGCTCCTTCCCATGTCCTTCCAGGTCTATTGAACACAGTGTGCTCATCTTCCCCGTCCATCCTATCACCCGTGGGAAAAGGAGATAGTGAAGGAAGGAAAAAGTTTACAGCGGGAACTGCAAGCTCCGGGCTCTCATCCCGACAGAATGACAATCCCCGCTAAGGTGGTTTTTTGAAAACTCTTCTCCCTAATGGTGTTTTTTAATGAGGAACAGAAACTTAAACGGGAGAAATACTGTGCTAAGATCCTGAGTATTCTCAAGTTGTTTAAGTGTCCATGCATGAGCTGTGCACCTTGGCTGCATCCCTTTCCCTCCCTAAGCCTCATTTTTCTCTATGTTCCACCTTGGGCGGAAGCAGCGTCCCCACTACTGCTGCTGCCCAGCGTGTGGTTTCTTGCAGCCTGGGACGGAGCGTGCTTAGGACGCACAGCACACACTTCGGGGCAGTGCCGTCTGCAAACTGGCTGCCAGGTCCCTCTGCATCTTCATGAACCAAATGGGATTCGCTCTCTGGGTGGAGTGCAGGGGGCAAAGGAGAGAAAGGTCACAGGACTGGGGATGCCCATTTCCCTGTCCCCGAACCCCACCCACAGCCCTCACCCCAGCACCTGGCTTCTCTCTGTCCAGACCGCTTCCTTTGCTCCTGGCTCCTCCCTGTTGGGCAGCTGCCAAACTGCGTTGCTATCTGTTTCCTTGAAATGTCCAGCTCTGTGCGCTGACAGCTCAGTTGGTGTGAAGGGCAGCAGGGGACACCGCGGGCTTGTAACGATGAGTTCTCAGAGAAGCCAACCTGCCCAGGTGAGTCGTGGGCTGGCCCAGCCTGGGCTGGGTGTCCAGCAGGGAGGAGCAGCTCTGGTCCCTGAGGAAATGATTTGGTGGCAGGGATTGCTGCTGGGGGAATCCCAAAGAGAGCCTGAGCAGGGTGCAAATGCCCGAGGAGGTCATCTGGGTGTAACTTTTTTCCATGTCAGTCTCATCCAAGGCAGCCTCTTGGGACCTAGGAATGTTAATCCGATTCATGAATTTGACCCCCAGTAGTGATCCTTCTGTGGGTGCTTGCTCCAGCCAGTTGTTTCTGGAAGACAAGCCTCGTAGTCTCTTCACAGGTCACAGTTTCTATACAGAAGACAGAACAGGGTTCTGGGAGCACAACAACCCCCACATGGCACTAAATCCATCTTCCCTGGAATTGGCCTCTTGGGTTCCTCCATTCACTGGCTGGATGGCTCTAGTCAGGGTACATTGACCATGACTGGATCTTGGGGTACTGGGGACAAGGGTGTCCTTCTGGCCTCAGTGACTTCTTTGCAGCATGGAGTTGCTGAAAGGCAGGTGATGGGATGCAGGGACACAGGAGGAAGATTGCTATGACAACCAAAGTTACCAGGAGACACCCAGGACCGAACCCTTTCAACTTCATTCATGTTGGGGCGCCTCCTCCAGAATGAGTGTGTGTGTGTGTGTGTGTGTGTGTGTGTGTGTGTGTGTGTTCTTGTAACTCTTCCAAATTAAAGTTTTCGGTCTCTTTTCCATAGGCTCCTGGAGCAAAATCCAAGACTTACGTAAGTGTTGCGTGGGTGGATTTCATTCAGAATGGCAGGGAGGGTGGTGACTTGCGTAATTGAAAAGAATACTTTATCAAGCTGAAGTTTTAAAAAAAAAACTCTTGAAAATTACAATAATTTTGAAAGGAGCTTTGAATTTTAAAATGGTCCCTTGAGCATGATAAGCTAATTATATGGCCTTCTCCTGTCATCCTAGCATGCTTGAGTATCTGGCCAAACTTCCCTCCATGACACTGAAGGTCCCCTGCTCTGGGAACACTGGGAGATTTTCCCTTGGCATTTAATGAACCAAGTAAAGTTGTCCTGGCTTCCTCTGAAAGTCATACTACTATCAGCTGATGACCAAGTCCATGGCAATGGGTACAGGATTCCCCACTGCTGTGGCGCCTCTCTGCTGTCAGGGGCTGACCTGTCTCCATCCTCCCAACAGCCGGTTCCTTACTTCACCTCCATCCCAGGGGGGCTGCAGCCATCCCAGGTCATCTCTGTGTCAGGCACAGTGCTGCCCAATGCGAAGAGGTAAGGCAGGGCCTCCAGGGCTCTCTGGCTCCTGGAAACAAGGGGGAGGTGATGGGTCCCACCACAGCTGTGGGACAGAGAGAGTCCATGTGACCTGCCCTCCCCAGGTTCCATATCAATCTGCTTGCTGGGAGTGACATCGCCTTCCACCTGAACCCTCGATTGAGTGAAAAGACCGTGGTCCGAAACTCTAAGATCAAGGGCTCCTGGGGGTCAGAGGAGAAAAGTCTGCCTGTCAGCATGCCTTTCATCCCAGGACACAGCTTCAAGGTAAGATGCTGCAATCGGAAGCTTGGGGTGCTGGCTGGGTGCAAGTGGAGAAGCGGTGAGGTGAGGAGCACTTGGGGTAACTTCAACAGTTTGGGGGTTGATGTGGCAGGGCACACGTACATACAATAGTGGCACTCTGGCAGTTGAAAGAGGGAGGATCCCAAAATTGAGGTTAGTCTGGGCAATTTAGTGACTTAAGGAGACTTTGTCTAAAGAAACAAAATTTAAAACTAGGAGAAGGGATGTAGCTCATTGTGAAGGCACTGGCTTGGTTCTGAAGAATAACAGGACAGAAGAATGAATGAGACAGTGAGAAAGAGAGAAAGAGAGAAAGAGAGAAAGAAAGAAAGAAAGGAGAAGGTTGGTCTGCGATGCCTGGGTCTTACCCCTAGCCATGGAGACTGTCAGCCTGGGCATCTGCTTAGGCAGAAGTTATGTCCTGGACACTGAACTCTGCAATCTGGGCTGGAAATGACTGGGTAGAGCAGTGTGGGCTGTCAGGGAGCTTGCATTTTACAACAGTGAGAAACTATTGGGGAGCAACAGCGGGGAACACTACCTTTGATTCATAGGGAGCTGTGTGAGCTTGGGGAAGGGCCCTTCAGCCAGGGACAGTCACTGGGTCTTTGCAGCCTCATTTCCTCCTCTACAAATGCGGCTAAGTATCCTGGGATCTCAGAGAGCTGTGGGAATGGGCCGAGGTAGTCGCTGTGCACGCTAGCACAGTGCCCTGCACGCGGGTGTGATGGAAGTGTGAGCACTGCCCTTCCTACCCTGACGGCCTACTGGAGAAGGTTCCGGGTGGGAAAAGACAGGTCAGGCTCCTGCTGCCTCTGCAGAGTCCAGGCGTGGACATGGGGGACACAGATGGCACAAGCCAGCACTGCTGCCCCCAGTGGCCTGAGGAGACAGATGGTCCCCTAGGAGTGGTCCAGTGAGGGCAGGGAAGGCTTGCCAGAGGGGGCTGGGTCCTGAGGTGCCTGGCAGTGACACAGGGGTAGAGAGGCAGGTTCGGGGCAGCACTGCAGGCTGGGAGCCGTGTGTGCTGAGATGCTGAGGTCCAGGGAGGAGAGCACAGGGTGTTTAGGGAGGAGCAGGTTCTTCAGTGTGGGCTGGTGCGGGGCTGGTTGGGGGAGAGGAGGAGGCAGATAGCAGGGGCCTGAGCCTGCGGGAGGGCTAAGGAGTTTGTGCATGGAGTGTGAATGGCAAGGCCTCTCTGCCCAGGTGGAGATCATATGTGAAGCCCAGTGCTACAGAGTGGCCCTGGATGGACAACACCTGCTGGCATACACCCACCGCCTGAAGCACCTGCCCGCCATCAATGCCCTGGAAGTAGCTGGCGACATCCAGCTTACTGATGTGCAGGTCTAGGCGGGCTCAAGAGCCCAGTGAAGGGCTGGGGACATGGCTGTCTGTGTCTCCTCCCTGTCCTCTCCCCTTCTCAGCCCAGCTTCTGAGCCCTGCCATCTGAGCAGATGGTGTCCTGAGGTGGGACACACAGGTGACCTCCAGGTCCCTTCCTCCTTGCAGCGAGGGAGGACCTGAGCCTTCCGTGCTCCAGCTCAGGCCCATTCTGCATAAGGCTGTCAAACCCCTTCCTGTCCCCTGTGCAGCCCCACGCTAGTCCCAAGCCCCAGCTGTGCACCGCAGGGACTGGGGCCCTCCACAGCCCCCATTCCTGTGACCTTTACCTTCCCTCCCTGGCTGTGCACCCTGCTGCGACACTGCTCCCTCTGGGGAGGCTGCCCTGTGACACCTGCTGGCTTCCACCCACTGAGCAGACCTTTCTCAGCAGTGGGCTCTTCCCTGTCCTGGCCTCCTTAAAATAAAGAAAAGCAAATGCTGTTGCTCTTGGCACATACTCGTGGGATGGCGGCTTTAGTGTCTGGAGACATTTTGGAATCTCTGGCTTTGGGGGCCCCTGCCCATGGAAGGGGGATGAGTGAGCACAGGTTCCCTTAGGGAAGGAGGCTCCTGACATCCACACTGATGCCCAGGGGACCTCACAGAGCCCACAGGGGTGCTGCAAAAAGCAGCTGGGGTGCACACTTGCAGGCATGGGCCTCTAATGTAGGAATGTTGGTAGCTGGGTGAACCTAGGAAACGTCTTCACGCTACTGAGAGCAGAAAAGCCTGGGACACAGTTGGTGGGAGTCACGAGAGGGTCAAGAAGCCGGATGACCTGAGCTTGAGTAGTAGGGGAACCAGTGGGGAACGTGACATGAGGAGTGGGGGTGCAAGAGCTAAGTACCTCAGTGCCGGGTCCTTCCAGGCCCTGGGCAGCATAATGGAGCTGCAGCAAGTATCCATGTGATACCAGTGCCCCTGCTAATTCCTTGAAGAACTTGGTCCCTGAAGAGCTAGCTTAGGGCTCAGGGTGTGGTCCTGGGGCAGCAACAACACAGGGACCTGGTTAGGAATGCACAGGCTCAGTCCCCGCACAGGATCCAAATGTAAATCTGTGCTTTAGCCAGATCCTAGGAGATTCTGTGTGTGTGTGTGTGTGTGTGTGTGTGTGTGTGTGTGTGTGTGCATGCACATACTCACGCAGCTGAGCAGCGCTGCTTTAGGTGGCTGGAGTCTTGGCCACACTGTTCAGACTCCTTTCTCCTGGGCTGGAGTCAAAGCTTTCCTGAGTTGCCGAGCCCTTTCTGTGCCCCCCCCATCGCAGTAGTTGCTGCCAGAAGCAGGACAGGCAGGAGAGGTGAAGCTGTTGAAGGAGTCCCGAAGGTGGGGAACAATCTGAAGCAGAGCTAGTCTTTGCCAGACAGCCGCTTGCCCCCTCCTGAGTCCCTTCCTTGGTTCTGAGCTGAAGGGGACACAGCTCCATCTCCTACTCAGCCCTCCTAGCTGGCTGCACACCCAGAAGGGTCCTGGTCTCTCAGGCAGGCAGGGTCGCTGCATACCCTTCACCCCACCTAAGCCTCCTCCTGCAGAAGACCACATCTGCCTTTCCCAAGTGCTGAAGCTCCATTGTCCAAATCTAATGAAGAAGGTGGCAATAGAGCAAAACCTGTATGACAGGGCGGTGGGCAAGGCCTTCACTTCAGAGCTGGCCTTGAGTGCAGGACCCTCCCTCATCCCACTCTGTATAAGACGAGCCCTGTGTGAGGCACAGCTCCCGCCCTGCGCCTGTCCCCTCACTCTGTCTCCCCTACCCACTTTGGAGAAGCACAGAACTCCATCTGCCACCAGTTCAGAGCAGAATGCATGGCCTGGCTGTTCTCTGTGGGGTACTTTGTCCACGTGGTGTCAGACCCCCACCCAATGTATGACTTGGAGCAGGTCTTGCCACAAAGAGGAAACACATGTACATATAATGGTTGACCTAAAAATGTTTTTGTAACTATTTCCATCAAGGAATTATACAGGAACGGCTCAAGTGGCCCTGTCCCTAGAAACAGACAGGAGTATTTTTAATGCAGAAGCACAGCTGCTGCACCCAGGGCAGCTAAGCACAGAGGTACCCATGGTGCGTCCCAGTCCTCCCTGGAAGTGTGCGCTGAGCCGTGGCTTCTGTCTTCCTGTCGCCCACTCGCCTGCCTGGCTTACGGGTTCCTCTGCCCGGGGCCGGGGATTGTAGGCTGCAGGGACTTCCAGGCAGTGCAGGACGCTGCTTGATAGTCAAGGGCTGGAGGGGGAGGAGTGGAGGAGCTCAGGCGTGAGGCTGGGTGTGGTCACCTTTCCCCCTGTCCTAAGGCCCTGTGACCTTGGCTCCAGAGCTGGCTCCATGAGCATCACACTCAGCGCCAGCAGCTTGAACTTCCCTGTGGGTCGCCAGAGCTTGGTGTCACCGGGTGGCCCCTCTGCTCAGTCCTGTTTCACCTCTGAGGGAAGGATGGCCCTAGATCTTCATGGTAGTGCTTGTGGCTCTTAAGGGGAAACAGAGTCCTTAGTCCTAAGCCCCACTCCTTTCCGAGGGTCTCCTGGCCTCACTATGCAGAGCAAAGATAAAGTGAAAATAGATGTCATCTGTCCAGTGCTCCCTCTGCCAGGCCGTGAGTCCTGACTAGCATTAGCTCCTCTCACCCCCACAGCCGCCTTGGAGAGCAGCCGCCAGCACCTTCACTTTCCATATGGGTAACTGAGGCTTGCAGATCCGAGGGACTGACATGACTGTGCCCAGCAGCCCTGGCCCCTCCTCCCAGTGCCCCGGAATGGAGCACACTTCCTTCACGGTGGCTTTGTGCGTGTAAGAATTTGCACAACCTCCAACCCTCACTATTTAAGTTCTTTGGAGGGAAAGCACAATGTCCTCTTGTCCCACGGTCCTTCGAGCCGAGCTCAGAGCATGCATGTTAGCGGGCAGATAGCTTGGTTGGTGCTGGGCAGGGAGCGCTGGTGCAGGTTTCTTGCAGGGAGCTTGACTTCTCTGTTGGGCTCAGGGGCTGAGTCCCTGGAAGGCCTCAGAGCTTCAAAGCAAGGCCTCTCCCTTGCGTGGACCTTGGGATAGGCCCTGACCATGTCCTCCTGGGCTCACCTATTTTGTTAAAGTAAGATGTCCTTCTTTAAGATGCACCCTGAATTTGTAATCTTTGGGGCCAAGAAACGTAGATCAGGGTGCGATGTCTGTTGGTAATGCAGATTTCCATCCCTATCCCCAAACACAAAATCATGCAAGATTCTTGCTTTGCTATCTTTTAGGACCTGCTCTGCCCCAATTTTTTTCTTATCCTCAGTTGGCACACTGGCTTTAGGGTCCTTGAGAGAGTCATGTCATGCTGGCACCTGCTGATAGATACCTCCCCTGTTTCCTGTAAACTTGCTGACGCCTGTAGGAGGGTCCCGAGTTCTCTGAATGATAGCAATCCCTCGCTCTGGCCTGGGCTGATAGGAGCTGGGCAGAGAGAGGGCAGAGGTGGCAAGCCCTTGAGCCTGAGCTCTGCCCTTGCTCTTATCCCTACTTTGCCTTCTAAAGGGGTTGTCTATGCTTTGTCCTGCAAGCCAGGCCTCATCCCTCCAAAGAAGTGATGCCATCCTGGGCAGTTTAAAGCCCTTCTTCATGGATGAAGGAACTCACAACCTGCATAGTACAGAAGGGCAGGCCTGGGGCAGGTGGGTCAGGATGTTGTGTTACTAGAGTCGCTCCCAGAATATCTCGCTGTGCTTTGATTTCCCTATAGCAGGCCCAGGTGTGGGAGGCCAGGGTCCATTGTGAGAAGTGAGAGTGAGTGCTGGGAGAGGCACTTTTTCATGAAGACATTGCTCCCTGGGCATGTTAGCACGTGTGTGTCATTTCAGCACGAGGCAAGCGGAGCAGGAGGATTTCAAGTTAGAGGCCGGTCTGCAGAGCTGAGGGACTTAGGGAGATCCTGTCTGAAAGTGAAAAATACAGTGAGCTCTGGTGTTGCTCTGTGTGAAGGAGAGGCAGAAGGGAGAAGCAGCGGGGAGCCCGGGCGGCTTGGCCAGCAGGGGCCGAGTCTCCACCCGAGTCCCTTCCTTGGTTCTGAGCAGGAGATGGGGCTCTGTGTCCTCCCAACACTCCTGGTTGGCTTCATCCCTAGATCAGCACTGCTTTCCTATGCTAGCAAGAATGCAGGTTCCTTCCACACCCCTTCTCCTCCTACAGAAGACCACACCTGGTTTTCCCAGGTGCCAAATCAGCACTGACGAAAGGTAACCAAACAGGCAGCAGCAAGGCAAAAGCCTTGCAAGTTTGGGCCTGGGGGACAAGGCCTTGACCGAGGAGCGGGGGCTGTGGGCGGAAAGCCCTCTCCCCACTCAGTGTAAGTTGCTTCCTATGGAGGCTCAGCTCCTGCTCTCAACTGCCTGAGCCAACCCGCTCTTTGGGTGAGCACAGAACTCCATCCACTGCCATTTCCAAAAGAAGTCGTGGTCTGGTGGAAAGTTCCTTTGGGGTCCTTTGTCCAGGCGGGGGCACAACCCTGCCCATGCTATGCCTTTTGGCTGATAAACCTGCAATACAGCCACAGCCACCACACACACACACACACACACACACACACACACACACACACAAACACATAGGCGCAATAGAGTTATGGTGAAATACATTTTATATAAGCTTTTCCCCAAGGAAACATACAGGAGAGGCAGAAGTGGCCCTTGGGAGAAGACAGGGGTGTTTTCATAGAGAAGCATAAATATTGTACCCAGAGCCTAGAAATTCTCGGGGGCACAATGTCACTGCCTGGTGGCCCCTCCAACAGCTGCAATCAAAGGAAGCCTGCTGTGCCTCTCAGACCTTACACTGCAGACTCTTCTTGGGCGAGGGTGGGTGCTTCAAGGGCAGAGGTGGCTCCGACAGTCCAGGATACTACTTGGTGGTAGCTCTCGTAAAATATATGTGACAAAGTTTATCATTTTGACCATTTCAGTGTACAATTCCCAGGGCATTCAGTATATTTACACTGTTGTCAAAAAACACTACATTCATCTCCAGGTGTTTTCCATCTTCCCCAAATGTTGCAACATTCATTAAACACACCCCTTTTCTCTCAGCCCTGGCAATTACTAATCTTAGCTTTATGAATTAATAGCATTTGAAGGCTTATATTTTATGACAAAGTCATCCTATTTATTTTTATAATTATCTTCTAAGTAAAACAAATGACAGTGATTTTCACCAAATGGCAATGAATCAAAGTGTCTCTTTTCTTCACACCCAGGTTGTCACTGTGACAGCTCATGTGATCCTCTTGTGCTGGTCAATGCGGGCAGCCACAGGTCCCAGCCCATCTGCAATCACCGGAAACCACAGAGTCCTGCTGCGTGCTGTGTTGCTAAGCTTCATGTTCAGCAGGCCGGGCATATCGATGCCATTTTCAATTTTATCATATTTGCAGCTGATGATGGGTTTCTCAGGCTGTAACCCTCAGAGCGTGCAAGGTCTCCCATT